GAAACTTAAAAAAAAAGGGCTCTGAGTTGTACTGAAAACAAAAAAAGTCAAGATATATAAAAAGAGAGTTTGTTTGGCTGCTTCTGCAGTAAAGAGTAGTAAAATTATTAACTTGTAATTTTTATTGCCAGACCGACTTGGATTCAGTTGTTTTTTAGTTGTAAAATGATTACTGTGCAATCTGGGTTCACTATCGCAAGAGTTCAGACTGTTAAAATTTGACCGGCCAAAAACGGGTAGTGTCCGAGCAAAAGCATGTTTGACCGGACAACGTGACCGGCGACTGCCCGTTAGTTATTTGCAGCCTTGGGTTAGATTAGGGGCAGCCAGAGGCTGATGTGAACCTACCGATAAAAAATATTCAGTATCGGTTTCGTGCCATATTGCGGATTTTAATCTTTAAACTTTATGTTCTGATGTGCGTCGAGGTTCGTTTTCAGTTGCTATGAAGAGAAACCCTCGTAAACAAGGACCATCGCCTTACAATGCTAATAATAAGCGACGATAAGACGCTTTTGAAAACACTGGATTATGGCTCGTGTTGGCGAACAAAGCGTGGTTTGGATTGCAGCCTCAAAATTTGACAAACTTTGTATAAGGAAATTTGAAGACAGCCTGAGGGGAGCGACAGCGTTATTCCTTTTTGTTGGATAGCAACTGTCTATGTGGATCTCTTCGTGACTTTCGGAAGCTTTCGAGTAGTCTCGCCCAGTGAGACCGAGTACACCAAGATTTTCGACAGTTTTCTCTAATGACTTTTTCATTACTGTTCTTTTACAACGCGAGTTTTGATTAGAATAATCGATACTGTTCCGTTACACACCACATTTGGAGTGAAGCAATTTCGAATTCAGTAAGAGCGTACCAATTTGAACTTCGGTTTCGCCTGACTTTTGTTTGTTACAGCTCTGCTGAATACTCCATCGTGTTTAAATAAAGTGTTCAGTTCAGTTGAGTTCAGTTCGGAAATTAATAGTTAGGCTAGCATAGCATTTTAGAGCTTACTTTAGAGTTCAAAGATCGTTTCAGTGACGAAAAGTGCAGAAGGAAAAACAAGATGGCTGCTGGAGACGAAGTTGAATGTGGCTCCGTGGCGAACTAGTCAGTCGGAATAAGAAACTTTTAAGCCCACCTCCTTTTAACTTGACTAGTCAGATGTACGTCAATCCGCATGCGTAGCCCCCTAAGAAGCATATTTTCTCAGACAGTCTTTAACGAAATGAATTTCTTTCCTGATTTTTACTCGAATGCAGTCAAAATCTCGTCAGATTGGAATAAGACGGGGAATATAAAATTTTTTAGGAACTCTTTGGGGGATTTAAACTCGTACTTGATACAAAAGTTGCCAAGAAACTAGCGTTCATAGACTGTTACATAACAACTAGACAAGTGGAGCGGTTGAAGATGAAACCCTTCGCACAAATTATTTTGTGTTTACTAAAGTTGATTGTTTTAGGAACGAAGTGGCCCGCGGGGCTTAAACGATGTGTGATTCGCGTCGTCAGTATGAAAATTGGTATGGAAACTTTAATTCAGGCTTAATTTTAGAAACCTATCTTTACAGTCAATTAGATTTCTTTTAGTATAACCAGTTATTGAAGTTTAACAACGCTCAAAGAAAAACCAGACTAGTAACATTCATGCTCGAATAGTTGTGCTAGTGGCGCTTATGTTAATGGCTAATAACGTGAGCTAAGGTTCACCTCACCTTTGGATGTTTTTCACGAATAAAAAACCCAAGAAATAAGTCACGAATAAAAAACCCAGGACATAACGTTTTTGTTTTTTACGGTCAATAATATTCTTTGTATTACAACATACTTCATCCTTTTTCTAAATAAGCTGGTTCTTAGAATTTGTGAATGAAAAGGCTTTATCGCCTTTTCCGGGAATGTCATAGGATTACAAATTTAGCGTTTTACTTGGAAAGCCTAATAAATTCTGGCTCACCGTCTTCTAATACTATATAGCAGAATTTGTGTCTGCTTAGTAAATGATTATAAGGGACAATAGATCAAAATGTTTCTCATTTTTAGGCCAATGGTATTCATTGTATAACAACCATAGTCTGCGTTGAATCGTGTGGATTTATAGTAGACGTCATGCTGGTTTGTCCTTGTTTTCAATAAGCTGGATTCTTAGAATTTATTGTTTAAAATGCTCTTCGTTTGTTTGTTTGTTTTTCCAAATTAAACGTCTTTTCGAAGGTATAGCTGCTGTAGATTTTGAGGGGTCGTTGCTTTAAATGCATGTAGAGTTCTGGAGAAAAAATCCACTTATCGTTCGCTGAAGATCACTCCTCTGCGTTTCAAAGTGGAGGGTTTTCTCAGTTAAATGAGATAAAGGACGTCGGGTATCTTAGAAAGTGTAATTAATTGACAAGTCACTCCGTTCGCATAAATGAACTACTTGACCCAGATTACTTCTATCAGCTCTCTTCGAAAGACACCAATTTTAAGGATGTCGATTGAATCATTTTTACGTGGGATCGTGTTAAACCAAAGAGTAAAAGATTCAAATATCATTAAAGATCGTGATAGTACTCTATTGAATCATCATAATTTCCCGTCCTGCAGCCGTCACTATCACTTTCGAAATTCGATAGTGAAGTTCATTAGCCAAAAAATCCTCAGAATTTCTTGTTTGCTGGTTGTGCCTTTCCGACCGTTGAAGTTTTAACTGGCACAATTCCTTTTACCGTTAGTAAATGTACCTGACCATCATATGGTGATGATTTTCGATTCTGCAATTCACTTGGCTTGCGCTACGTAGAGTTGATGAACAACCTCTTCGTAGCTATGTTTTTACACCATTTTGATGTATACATGTATCCTATTAATCCATTCGAACAACATTTTATGATCCCTTTCGGCTGAGAGATCTGAGTTGCGCTGGTCGGTTAAAGATTTTTCGCTTTTAGGGCCTTCACTAGTCAGTAATATATTAATACGGAAGTGCACCAAAGCGTATTCGATTCCCCTGGTTCGCTGTATCTCGGCTAGAACGCGACACAATATCTACAGAAAAACATAGCGGTTTTTAGTTTCAGGAAGTAAACTATTTGTTAGTGAAACAATTGAAACATACCTTGAAGTTCGTGTGGATCGCTACAGAGTCGTTAATTTCCAGCTGATGAAAACGAATAACGACTGCGTGGATGCGGCGTTAAAAGGCTGCAGGAGACAGAATAAGGACTCAAACTTTCTCTAGTAGAATTCTCCTCTTTCTTCTTGTAAGATAAACTTAGCTCTGCAAACGACTCAGTCTGATTAAGAAACTTAAGCCCAACACCTTTAAATCTTGACCGCAATCGACTCGTCAGAAACTAGTCAACACTTATCAAGCGGAGTCCGCATGCGCAGGACAAGTAAACAAAAACATTCCTGCTCGAGTAGGCATTGTGCTACAATGGCGTTTATGAGCTAAGGTTCCCCTTTGGATAGTTTCATTATTTTTCTGTCCAAAAAAAAAAAAACCGAACAAATCAGTAACTATGGTCACGAAAAACAAACGTGGACGTTTGAAAGGCAATTAGCCTTTTTTTCAATTAAACTTGTTAATCCGGTTTAGACTGACTTTCTTGGAATCCGACTCTGTCACCTGCTTCCGTAGTTTCGCTGAAATCTGAAGTATTCAGTTTTAAGTAGCTTTAGTACACAAAACTAAACCGGCCTTGTTTCTAGAGTATACAAGAGCAGAAGTGTAGCCTATAGTTTTACCTAGAGCGTAGTTATATACTTTGTGTGATGAAAAAAGGGAACAACAACAAAAGGAAAGTTTTAAATGTATTTTTTGAATGGTGAATTTTCGAGAAGAGAATCATCGAGAAAACTGACTTCTGTCTTACGGATCCAAGTTATCTTCCTCTCTCGCAAGAACTGGTGCAATTAAAATTCGACCCGATCGTAACAAATTTTTTGCTGTTAATTACGAGATGTGCTAATTATTTGTTCGAGTGTCATTAAGTCTCTCACTCTCCAAAAATCAACCTCATTTACTTTTTATTTTATCTAGTATTCTTAGTCTCTGAGAAGTTTTTAAACAAATATTAAAAGAGAGTATACGTGTAATTAACTACTGCGAAATACGAAAGTCTTGGGCCCGATCCCTCGGGGGGTTCTCGAAATGTTGTGGTTCTACTTTTGTGATAAAACTAATGACATCTTTCTTCTAGGATGACACTTGTCGATAATCTGAATTCTCAAATGATTTTGTTTCTTTGCCTTACAATCCATAATTCTGCCCTGGAGGAGATCGTCTACTCCTTGCTCAATGAGGGCTAAATATTCTTGACTTAGCGTGAAGTTCATGGTTAAAATGAACTTAAATGCTTAAAGAAGTAAGGTATATATTGAGAGTCAAAATGTTCCCTTTGGGGGCATCTTTTAGGTCAAATTCTTCATCGCATCTAGGGCACTTTGCTCGCAGCAAATTTCCAGTAAAATCCTTGACCGGTGAATCCAGCCGGCATCTGGGACATGTCACGGAGTAATCATCTCGCTGAAGACTTGGCAAAGTTTCCCTTAACCATGTGGCACGCTCGGATCCAAGTTTCTTGAAAGAGTTTTTTTCTCTTTCGTCCAGGTTGTCTATTTCCCAGTAAACATCATAGAACTTAAATCCAAGGACCTCTGCGTTCTGCGCTTTGAAAAAGCCGTTGTCTGCCCAGTCGGGTCCCTTGGAGTCCAACAGTCGCAAATATTTGCAGTTGAAACTGGTTAAAACTACTGCATGGCCAAACCTTTTTGGGATATTTGGAGGACGGGCTGATATATCGATCTCTTTCTTCGTCAAAATACCGTTTCTGTTAGTTTGGAAGAACTCTTTAAACCTACCCCACTCATCCAAGGTAAGCTTAAATGTTGCAAGAACTGGTCGGCTTGAAGCGACTGCTTCCATGGCACCCCCGAGGTCAACTTCCTTGTAACGCAAACGGTACCTCTTGCACATTTCTTCCAGAACTGTTCCGATACTGGTCGCTTTTATTCCAAAACGGCTGATCATTTTAGTTTTCAAGTCGTCAAAAGTTGGAATACCACCTTCGCGACCATGAATTCTCGTCATGGCCAAATGAAGCACTGTAGCAGATGCATGTGCATAGCAGGTCTGCCCTTCTTGCTTTTCTTGTGCTTCGTAGTCACTCACTGATTGGTTTATGTAGACATCGAGGTGGACGGTTGCAAGTAAATCGGATAAGGCTTCGTGAGAACTGACGACATCTCGAGCCAGGTCGCAAGCCTCTCGCAGGTGGTCGGGATGATTGACTTGCAAGAACAAACGTGTTTCATTGTTGGTAACCTCAATGGACCAGTCACGTTTAACAAACATGGTGCGTGGTATTGACTGCGTGGCCAATTTGGAGCTCAGTGAGAACATGAACTTTGCACATTCGTCCCATTTTTTTTTCTTTTCGCTGTACAGTTGTTTGGGTTCAATCTCTTGGGATGTAATGTAGCAGCCCACGATGGTCACACCTGCACCAGCCATTGTTGAGATGGCGGAGGGTATTCTGTCACTACTGACACTGTAGCCATCTGTGGGCTCTCCATCTGACAGGATGAACAACAGCTTTTTGTGTTCAGAATAGTCAGGAACATTATCCTTAAAGAGTTCCTTCGCCTCCCTAATTGCTTGATAGAAAGGTGTCCCACCGTAAATCAAGGGCTCTACGTTTTTCAATAATTCCTGACTCCTCTCCTTAGAGAGTTCTTCTTCTTTATCGATGTATCCATGTAATATATTGGAAGCTTCCTTCACTTTGAAAATGCGAGGTTTGCAATGGCTTTGTCTTGCTTTGTTAGTTTAATCATTTTTGATTAAAAAGGGTTCGGCCTTTTTTAGTACTTCCTTGATGTCTTCTTTTGTTGCTTCTCTAATGGTTGCCCCTACCGATGCATAAACTGTTTCGCTTGCTGATAAGAGAGGGTTAACAGCCTGTCCAAATTGGCTGACCAACCCTGGTCCTTCGTGGAATTTGGTGAAGTCTTTGAATTCTGGTGGTAGACACTCTTGGACAAATTTGTGAAGGAAATCCTTGTCAGATTCAGCCTTTTCTAGAAACAAGTGAGCCATGTAATGTATTAATGCACTTTTGACTACTTCTTTTCTTGCCCATTTGCGGATGTACCATGCGCCGGCTGTCTCGAGTATTTGGAAAATCTCTTCTATCTGATCATTTGTGGCAGACTGAAGACCCGTCAAGATATCAAATACTTCCCCACCAGCTTTAGCTCCAAAGGCTAAAGCAAATACATGGTTATCAGAGGGAACGTCGTGTTCGATCAGGTTGTCAACAACTTTAAATATCGAACGAGCCCATGGTCCTCCATCTTCATCGATACCGCTTCCCGCGCTATGATGCATGGAGTCGGAGACGTCAAGAAGGATTCCAATCAGCGCCTTGGCCATGCTCCCTCGATCTGCAATTATAAAAGTATGAATTTTATGCTGAAAGTTGAAAAGAGGGTGATAAATTAACTAAATTACCAATTGCCTTAATTTCTACACAAGTTTTTAACACTTTGTTACGACGTTTTAAGTCCTCAATATATACAAAATATATATAGATGAACACTTTTTATAGATACAGCTCACGCTGTTTCGGAACAAGTCTGATTCTTAGAATCCGTGTAGCGCTTAGGCATCCGTTTCCGCGAATATGACAATCTGTAATTAAGCCTATTCTTTTCGTCAGGTGTAGCAACCGAAACCTTTTGCCGAGTATTATATTTCAGTTTTGGCAAGCCAAATTTGGGAGATAAAAAATTTCATATCGGCTTTATGCTTTGTTGCGTATTATAATCTATTAAATTGTATGGTTCTGAAGTACTTCTAGGTTTGTTTTCAGTTGCTGTGAGGAGAAGCTCTCGTCAACAGAGACAATGCAAAGATTAAGCGACGATAAGGCGCTTGTGAAAACACTGGATTATGGCTCGTGCTGGCGATCCAAGTGTTATTTGGATCGCAACCTCAAAATTTGACAAATTTTATATATTTTTTCTGATGACCTTTTAATTAGTGATCTTTTACAACACTAGCTTTGCAAAGAATAATCGATACTGTTTCGTCGAATACCACATTTCGAGTAAAACAATTTCGTGTTCAGTAACAACGAACCAATTTCGGTTTCACCTGGCTTTTGTTTTTTTGAAGTAGGAAATTAAGAGTTAGGCCAGCTTAACAATTTAAAGCTTACCTTAGAGTTTAAAGATCGTTTCAGTGAGGTAAAATGCGGATGAAAAAAGAAAGACTGCGTAGATTCGGTGTTGGGGGCTGCTGGAGACGAAGCTGAATATGGCTCTGCGGCAAACTACTCAGTCGAAATAAGAAACTTATGAGCCCACCTCCTTTTAACTTGACGACAATCGACCTGTCAGATACAAGTCAATCCACACGCGCTGGTCCCTTATAAGCATATTTTTTCGGACAGTCCTTAACTCTTTCGAAATGAATTTATTTTCTGATTTTTATTTGGATGCAGTCAAAATCTCGCCAGATTGAATTGAGACGGGGAATAAAAAATTTGTTAGGAACTCTTTGGGGGATTTAAACTCATACTTGATATAAAAGTTGCCAAGAAAATAGCGTTCATAGACTGTTACATAACAAGAAGACGAGTGGAACGGTTGGAGATGAAGTCCTTCGCATAAATTATTTTGTGTTTACTAAAGTTCATTTTCTTGGAAAGAAGTGCCACCTGCGGGGCTTGAACGATGTGTGATTCGCGTCATCACTGTCAAAATTATTTTGCAAACTATATTTCAGGCTTTGTTTGAAAACCTAGCTCTACAGTCAGACTTCTAGTTATTGAAGGTTAACAAGCTCAAAGAAAAACCAGAGTAAAAACCTTCATGCTCGAGTAGGCGTTGTGCAAATGGCGCTTATGTTAATGGCTAGTAACGTCAGTTAAGGTTCACCTTTGGATATTTTCACCATTCTTCAATCAAAAACAAAACGAGACTATTCAGTGACTAGGGTCACGAATAACAAAAACAGAAACGGTAACTTTTTCATTAAACTTTTTCGTTCTGTTTAGATGGATATTCTAGGAATCTGACTTTGCCACCTGCAGCTGGAATTTCGCGGAATTGTAACTAAGTTCTCCTTCCGCATGAACCGGTGCAATTAAAATTTCGCCGAGATTGTCGAAAAAAATTAGCAATTTGTTCATTACAAAGCCAAAATGAGGTGGTTCTGATGCTTCAACAAGAAACGAAAACCGGCCCTGGAATATGTTCTGGTATTATTTCGTCTGTTGTTACTCTCGTTTTCCTGATTGAGAAGATCATGTTTCAAACACGTCTGGTTAGAGCCCTTCTCTTTTATAATGATGCTTCAGCATAGAGTCTCTGTGGGTCAGCGGTAGAGCATCGGAGCGCGGAGTCTCAAGGTCTGAGGTTGGATTCCTCATAGGGACTCAGAATTTTTTTCTTTGTCCCACGCTCGTGATAAGCCTAAAAAAGCTTTTCTGCGCTTCATCTATGTTACCTACAGCTATCTCCCTTTTGAGAGTGTTTCGTAATGTAATGGGGGAAGGCGCAGCCAGTTTGCTAGTACATTTTTTGTTTTATGAAGCTTTTGTCACCGTTGGCAAAACTAAATATCTCAGCTTAGGATTAGGATCAGTAGAGAATTTTATTGTCGCTGTTGTGTTAGGGGCTTGAACATGTCCTACTTCACTCATGGTAAAGATAACAACGAAGAATCCTTGTACGATTTGTTTGCCGCGGCTAATCACAGTGGGGCAGTCAGCTTTGGTCACTACACCGCATTCGGTCGGCTGGCAGAGGCGGACCATCCTACACTCTTTTTGACCCTTTCGTAAGCTACAAGCAAATCAAATTCATCCATATTTTGTGTTGGCACCTACTTAAATACATGACGTAATATGTCTCTGGAATTTACAGAGAAGCCGCTGCTCAGGCTAAGCAGCTATTATATGAATGCTGAGAGCTGGGTAAGGTATTCTCTGGAATACACTCTTTCACTCTAACTTAAAATTGTGACTACATCCTGTGGAAGATATTCAAGCGAACTTTTTTAGTGACTGAACTTGCGCAGTAGAATCTGGCCCACATTATAACGAAATAAGCATTGATGACGTACAGGAAGTTTCAATTAAACCTAAAAGGAACATTTACGCCTAAATATCAATAGCGATTTTTTTATGCTCCTTCACTTATGTTCTCAAGCTATTTTCTTCTGTGTAGTGCTCTACCCTTTTGTTTGTCTCTTGTTGGCTATTTATCGGTTCAAATCTTAAATTGTTTCTGAAATATATCAAAAAGTCCAACTACAAGCGTACGTGATTATCCCATTCTATTAGCCTAAGCTCGATTTAAACCCTGAAAACAAATAGCACTTCTTAATCAACTAAGATTTCAAGGTCTTTTTCTTCTCTCGGAACCTATGTCTATGTTATCATGCTAAGTTTTTCTCCTCCATGGTAAAGGAAAGGTAAATGTCTCTTTCACAAACTTATTTGCTTAAAGAGGTGAGATAAATATTGAGAGCCAAAATGTTCCCTCTGTTGGCATCTTTTGTAGAAAATAAAAGGCCACATTTGGGGCTTTTTGCACGTATCAAAGTTCCAGTGAATGCCTTGACTGGCGACTCCGTTTTACATCCTGGGCATTTGTAGGTAGCCTTTTGAAGACTCTGCAAGCGTTCCAATAAATCTCTGGCAACGGCGGATCCGTGGGTCTTGTAACGGGCTTTCTCACTTGGGGTCAAGTCGTCTTCTGTCCAGTACACATCAATGAATTCTAATCCAAGAAGGTCTGCGTTCTGCACTCTAAAGAATCCTTTGTACGCCCATTTCGGTCCCCAGGAATTCAAAAGTCGCAGGGATTTGCTGTCGAAGCTGGTTAACACAACAGCATGGCCACTGGTTCTGGTGTTGGGAGCACGGGCTGTTATATCGGTGTCCTTCTTTGTCAAAATACGGTCTTCGTCGTCATCTTTTCTGAAGAACGTTTGAAATTTAACCCACTCATCTTCTGTGAGTCGAAATCTTGCCACCACTGGTCGACTTGAAGTGATTGGTTTCATGGCACCTTTAAGGTCAACTTTCTTGCAATGCATACGGTACTTTGGACACATTTGACTCAGCACTTCCAAAGTGTTGGCACCATGACTTCCAAAGTGGCTGATAAATTCATCTCTCAATTTGTAGAAATCTGGATATCCGCCTTCGCGACCAAGAATGCGTTTCATGGACAGATGAAACACTGTAGCAGATGCATTCGCATAGCAAGTACCCCCAACTTACCCATCTTTTGCCTGATACCGGTCGAGCCCTTGATTTATGAGGACATCGAGATCGATGGTTGCAAGCAAGTCAGATAACGCATCTTGACAGCAAACCACATTTCGAGCCACCTCGCAAGCCTCTCGCAAGTGATCTGGATGATTGAGCTGCAGGAACAAACGTGTTTCGTTATTGGTGACCTCGATGGACCAACCACGTTTAACAAACATGGTGCGTGGTATCAGCTGCGATTTCAGTGTTGTGCTAAGTGAGAAGAGGAATTTTGCACCCAGGTCCCATTCGTCCCGTCTCTCCTGGCTGTACAATCGTTTGGGCTCAATCGTCGTGGACTCAGTGACAAAGCAGCCCACCACGGTCACAGCTGCTTCTGTCAATCCTGAGACAGCTTCGTCTTTTTTCGCCGAGTCATTGATATCTCCGTCTCCGGGCTCTCCGTCTGACAGGACAAATAGCAGCTTTTCATGGCTTGAAAACGTACGGGTTCTCATAAGTTCTGTGGCCCTTTCAACTGATTCTTACAAAGGCGTTCCACCGTAAATGTAGGGCTCGACGCTCCGCAGTAATTCTCTACTCCTTTCCTTCGAGAGTTCTTCTTCATCGAAACAACCATGTAAAATATCTGAGGCTTCGTGAACACTGATAATGGAATCTTTGCCTACACTTTTCTTCATCAAATGTGGTGCAGCCTTGTCAATTACATCTTTGACCTCTTCAGTTGTAGCTCTTTTAAATGTCGTCACCGCTGAGGTAGCCACTGTTTCCATGAGACCTAGAAGTTGATTTTGCGGAAACCATTCGCGGCAAGCTGGTGGTAGACACTCTTCTACGAATTTACTTGCAAACGACTGGTCAGACTCACATTTTTTTAGTAACAAGCCAGCCGTGTAATCTGGTACTACATTTCTGACGACTTCCACGTCTGCCCATTTGCGGATGTTACGTGCACCGGCGTTCTCTAATATTTGGAAAATTTTGTTTAAGTGGCCGAGTGTGACAGGCTCGTCGTTTTGCTCAAAAGCTCGTTTATGAAGGTGAATACGTTGAAGGGTTCCCAGGATGTCGAATATTTTCTCACCCTCTTCGGCCCCGAAGCCAACGGCGAAAACGTGGTTGTCAGTGGCAACATCGTGTTTGATAAGGTTGTCAATAACTTCAAAGATCGAACGAGCCCACGGCTCTCCGTCTTCAGACTCTTCATCAATACCACTTCCAATGCTACGTTTCATGGATCCAGAGACATCAAGTAGGATTCCTGTCAATGACGGCATGTTTCCTTTGCCAGCAGTTACAATTATAAGAATGGGTTTTGACATACTAGTTTACTTGAATACCAGTGACCTAAACCTCCATATTTATCACGTGACTATTGACCAACCTCGCAGAGGTTTAGCGTGAGATTGGTAGCTTAAGAATACTCAGAAACGGACTTGGAATATTTTTATCCTTAGTTGTATCTATATAAGCGACTCAACGAATGCTGGTGTTCTCCCTCTGTCATATATTATGTATAAGGATCTGTGTCTGCTTAGTAATTGATTATAAAGGGCAACAGATAATATTTTCTTTTTGGTTTTTTTTTCATGTCAACAACATTCATTATACAGAAACCACAGTCTGTGCAGACATAGTTAGTAGAGGGGGGTGGTGCAGAACAATGCGGATGTAAAGAGGACTTACTTAGAATTTATGAATCGAAACGCTTAATCGCGTTATTCCGGGAATGTCCTTGAAATGCAAATTGAACATCTTTCTTGGAAGGCCCCAGAAGGTGTATGTTACGAGTGGCCGCTACTTTAACTTCGGGTAGATAATATTCTGCATACCAGCCTTTCGTTCACTAAAAATTACTTCTCTGCTTGTGAAAGTGGATGACTCTCTCGGTTCAGATAATGGAGGTCGAATAGCTTAGAAAATGTAAGCATTTGATATCATTTTCTGTGTCCACCGGAATTAATGTGTTAGCCCGAATTACTAGTATGAGAACTCTTCCAATGACGTTTTTACATCGTTTTGATGTATGCTGTATTAATTCGCTGCATAGAACTTCCTTTTCTTATCCCTTTCGGCTGAGAAATCTGTGTTGCGCTGTTTAAGAACCGCTCTTAAGACAAGAAGATGTAAGAAGTTAAAGATTCTTTCGCTTTTAGGTTCTACATTTGAATTTAACTTTTATCAGTACG